ATCTCCGCTATAGTTACTGTAAAGGGCATTATCATAATCTGAAGTGGGCCCCCTCAGCTCACAGCTCGTGTCCATCTCTTGCTGACTATCAAACTCTTCATCTGTTGGGCCATCACATGAATGAGATGATATGGGTGAATATCCTCCTGTTGCAGTCTCTTCTCGTTCTCTCAGTGTTTTCATGATCAAGGTCTTGAGCAAGTTCATTACTTGAACAGCATGCATCAAAGCCGTCAATGGATCAGACATCTGCTCAAGAGAAAATCAAAATAGAATGCTTCAATTTTACTAAACTTAAACTATAATAACAACTAAAACAAGAATTGCAAGGTAGTTTGGTAGCATTTGATGAACATTTTAAGTACATCTCTTGAACACTGATCTAACAAACTCCTGACTTAATTATTACTTTTGTTTCTGTACGCTAAAAAATGTTGCAAGATACTAAGTAAAGTAATGCCCCCATACCTGAGTCATATTTGGAGCAAAAACCATAGCAATGTTTCTTGCATTCATTTTGTTTGATTCCTCTTCCTCAACGACATCTGCCATAAGATCAACAGCCCAATTGAGCAGTGCAGCTTCAGTTGGCTTTAATTGCTGCACAAGCTCAACAGAGTCTTCTTCTGTATTACATTGGAGAACCTGTTCAGGGGAAAGTCCATCCAGCACCCCTGAAGGAAGTTCCCGAAACCAAGCTTTAATAAGGCCTGCAAGACAGTGGACATCAATATTATCTGGTACGATGCCCCTGTTCAGCTGGTCTCTTACATGCTCCTCTTGGCTATTCTCAGGATTTATCCGGAAAATCCCTTCTGCCTACAAGACCGTTGAGAGAACACCAGAGAGGAATATCATTTAGAATTCAAATCATAGTCAGATAATCACATAGATGTTAATATTAGTCGACATGTTTAGAAATTAAAACCTTTAGGCCTCCTTGAGAATAAAGTCGCTCCTGCAACAGCAAGAGTATAGTGGGGACGCTGTTCCCTTTGGAATCGATTGAGCATTGCATTGATTCCGCTGAGACCCCGAACACACTAGCACTACAAAAAAAGACAAATCCAATTAAGGACCACTGGAAAAATAAGGGAGAAAATGATAAACAGGAAATTGCACTAGTTCAACGGAAAGAAAAGAATCCAAAGAAAAGACAGTAAAAAAAGTGACACTGACAAGATTGATTCCAGCTAATTATCAAAAGAAATTTCTTCGAAAACCCAAATATCTTCACAAGGAAGATTGGTTTTCAACAAGTAAATAGTAAAAAAAGCAAGTATAGTAAAACATAGTATTATTCAATTACTTTACCTACAAAGAGCAGGGTTCATAATACAAGAATATGAGATAGTAATATTTATTAAGCTCTCCGGGTGCTGTAGAAACCAAATAACACAAAATCTACTATCTTAAAAAATACCAAAAAAGTCTTTCACTCCATGAAATTCATTGAACTTCTCAAGTACCTCCAATTTGAACTGTTATGGAACTCTAAAGTCCATTTCTTTTGCGGCTGCTCATAAAAGGTGTACCATTTTATGAACAGAAGTATTCAGGTCGTTGATTTTTTAAATCTTCAAAATGAACAGAGCTTGAAAAGTCAAATCTTTTAAATTTTCTGGAAATACTATTAAATGTTATGGTTCTCAAAGCTTTCATTCTTCGAAACCTCTTAAAGTTAGGCTTATCTAATGTCTAAAAAACCTTCATTTGAGCTAGAATACGGGGGAAAATCCCAGGTTTTTTTAAAATGCAGATCTCCCTTCTCTCCGTTGTTGTTACTAAAAACAGCTAGATATCTACAACTTCACTCTTCCAGATCTAAACTGCACAAGAACACTAACATTTCGGTTTTAAACAACTAAGAAATCAAGACCCAGCTTAAATCTTTGAAATTCAAATTTAAAAAGAAAAACAAA